ATTCCATTTCATATAATAAACATTCAATTCATTAAATTAAAATTTAAATTAACTATTAGAAATTAAATTCATCAAATTAAGATTCAATTTCATCCAATTAATATTCAATTCATCAAATTAACACCAAATTAATATTCAATTCTTCAAATTAACACTAAATTAACTTTCAATTCATCAAATTAACACAAAATTAATATTCAATTCATCAAATTCACATTCAATTCCATCTAATAAATAATTAATTCATCAAATTAACTTAACATTCAATTTTATCAAATAAATATTCAATTCATCAAATTAATACTAAATTGTTGGGCGAGATGGCTTAATAATTAATTTAAAAAAAATCTTCCACTAGTAAAAAAGTCAGGAGCTTGTTGGGCAAGATGACTTAATATCTTCAGCTTCATGTTTATTCTTCACCCTAATAGCTTCAGATTCATGTTCCTTCTTCACCCTAAATGTAAAATAAACCATTAACCACAAAAATGGCTTCATCATATAAATTACGCTATTAACTAAAAAAAACATTCACTTACATTATATCTGATTAAGACTTGGATCACCAATGGATTATCAAAGACAATGTTCACCAAAAAAATAAAATAATGGAGTTTCATATTAATCTTACAGACTCAACAAAATATAAACCAAATAAACAAATATTTTTGTACCGTGAAAGATATAGAGGGAAGGCACGATGGAGAGAAGGCAAAGAGCAGTAACAGTCTTTAGACAGGAAAGTGGGTGGAGGGAGAGATAAGGTTTTTGTGATTTGTGAACCTTAAAATAAAAAAATAATATATTGTAACATGTGGGGTGTAAGTATAATTTACAATGTGAAGCATTTAGGACTGATCCAAGAAATGAGAGACCGATCATGGGTAAATATCACCCTTTTATCTCTTTTATCCCTTAACTATAACACTTTTATCATTTTTTTCTTAACTATCACACTTTTATCCCTTAAATAATCAAAAAAAATTCCCAAAAATATTCAATTTTTTATAAATAGTTCCAATTTTTATTAACAAAAAAAAAAAAAATAATGAATAAAATCAAAAAATTAAAAGAATCGTAAATAATGCTTCCAATTGGGTCAGGTTATAATATTTTTGGATTGAGTTCTAATTTTTTGGGTGACTCCAATTCGCTACATCAAAGAAATCCTACTGTCCAAAAATATTCAATATTTTTTAAATAACAAAAAATAAATAATGAATAAAATCAAATGAATAAAAGAATTACAAATAAAAGAATTGTAAATAATGCTTTGGTGTGGTTATAACTGGTTATAGCTTTTTTTGAATTAGGTTCCAATTTTTTGGGTTAGTCGGATTAGCTAGATCAAAAAAATTCAAATAATTATAAATAATGCTTCCAACTATTTGGGTCAGGCTTCATTTTTTGAGGTTACAACTCTTGAGGGAGAGTTCCAACTTGGGGTGGGTTCAAACAGTTGGGGGAGGGGTCCAACTTTTTTGAGAAGTGTTGAAATTTTTTTTGGGTTGAAGTTCCAACTGTTTTGATAGGGGTTCCAACTTTTTTAGGTTAGGTTCCAACTTTTTTTGTTAGAGTTTCCTGTTTTTTGAGTAGATGTTTCAACTTTTGTAGGTAGAGGTTCCAACTCTTCGGGCAGGGGTTTCAAATTTTTTGGGTAGGGCTTCCAACTTTTTTTGGGGTGGGTTCCAACTTTTTTGGGTAGGGGTTCTAACGTTTTTAGGTAGAGGTTCCAACTGTTAAGGGTAGGGTTCCAACTTTTTGAGTTGAGGTTCCAACTTTTGTGGGAGAGTTTCAACTTGTCCAAGGTTCCAACTCTATAGGTGGGTTCTAATAGTTGGGGAGAGTTCCAATATTGTTGGGTAGGGCTTCCAACTTTTTTGATTAAGAGTTCCAACTTTTTTGGGTAGAGGTTCAAATTTTTTTGGGTAGAGGTTCCAACTGTTGGGGATAGGGTTCCAATTTTTTGATTGAGGTTCCAACTCTTGTGGGAGAGTTCCAACTTGTCCAAGGTTGCAACTCTATGGGTGGGTTCTAACAGTTGGGGGAGGGTTCCAATATTTTTGGGTAGAGGTTCCAATTTTTTTGGGTAGATGTTCCAACTCTTGGGGTAGGGGTTCTAACTTTTTTGGGGTGGTTCCAACTTTTCTAGTTTGAGTTCCAACTTTTTTGGGATGAGTTTCAACTTTTTTGGTTAGGGGTTCCAACTTTTTGGGTAGATGTTTCAACTCTTGGGGTAGGGATTCCAACTTTTTTGGATATGATTCTAACTTTTTTGGTTAGGGGTTCAATTTTTTTAGATAGGTGTTCTAACTTTTTAGATAGAGGTTGCAACTCTTGTGGGGGGAGGGTTCTAATTTTTTTAGAGGTTCTAACAGTTGGTGGGTTCTAACAGTTGGGGGGAGGGTTCAACTTTTTTGAGTAGAGTTCCAACTTATTTGGATAGAGATTCCAACTCTTGGGGTATAGGTTACAACTTTTTTAGATAGGGTTCTAACTTTTTTGGTTAGGGGTTCAACTTTTTTAGGCAGATGTTCTAACTTTTTGGTAGAGGTTCCAACTCTTGTGGGAGAGGGTTCCAACTTTTTTAGAGGTTCTAACTTATTTGGATAGGGGTTCCAACTTTTTTGGGTAGGGGTTACAACTTTTTCGGTTGGTGTTCTAACTTTTTTAGGTACGGGTTTCAATGTTTTGGGTAGATGTTCCAACTCTTGAAGAGGGTTCCAACTTTTTTTGGGGTGAGTTCTAACTTTTTTGGGTAGGGTTCCAACATTTTTGGTAGGGTTCAACTTTTTTGGAGTGAGTTTCAACCTTTTTAGTAGGGTTCCAACTCTTAGGGAAGGGTTCTAACTTTTTTGGGCATTGATAGTCTTTAGGCGGGAAAGTGGGTGGAGAGAGAGATAAGGTTTTTGTGATTAATATATTGTAATATATGGGGTGTAAATGTAATTTACAATGTGAAGCATTTAGGATCGGTCCAAGAAATGGGAGACCGATCCTGGGTAAATATCACTCTTTTATCCCTTTTATCACTTTAACTATAACACTTTTATCCATTTTTTCCTTAACTATCACATTTTTATCCCTTAAATAATCAAAAAAATCCAAAAATATTCAATTTTTTATAAATAGTCCCAATTTTTATTAACAAAAAAATTAAATAATGAATAAAATCAAAAAATTAAAAGAATCGTAAATAATGCTTCCAATTGGGTCAAGTTATAATATTTTTGGATTGAATTCCAATTTTTTGGGTGACTCCAATTCGCTACATCAAAAAAATCCTACTGTCCAAAAATATTCAATATTTTTTAAATAACAACAAATAAATAATGAATAAAATCAAATAAATAAAAAAATTGTAAATAATGCTTTGGTGTGGTTATAACTTTTTTTGAATTGGGTTCTAATTTTTTGGGTGAGTCGGATTAGCTAGATCAAAAAAAAGTCCTAAAATATTCAATATTTTATAAATAGTTCCATTTTTTTTATTAACAATAAATAAATAATGAATAAAATCAAACAATTCAAATAATTGTAAATAATGCTTCTAACTATTTAGGTGAGGCTTCATTTTTGGAGGTTACAACTATTGAGGGAAAGTTCCAACTTTTTTGAGATTTCAACTTTGGGTGGGTTTTAACTTTTTTGATTAAGAATTTCAACTTTTTTGGTAGGAATTACAACTCTTTTGGGTAGAGGTTCCAACTGTTGGAGGTAGGATTCCAACTTTTTGGGTTGAAGTTCCAACTCTTGTGGGACAGTTCCAACTTGTCCAAAGTTCTAACTCCATGGGTGGGTTCTAACAGGGAAGGGTTCCAATATTTTTGGGTAGGGCTTCCAACTTTTTTTGGGATGGGTTCCAACTTTTTTGATTAAGAGTTCTAACTTTTTTGGATAGAAGTTCTAACTTATTTAGATAAAGGTTCCAACTCTTGGGGTATGAGTTCCAACTTTTTTGGATAGGGTTTTAATTTTTTTGGTAAGGGGTTCAACTTTTTTAGGTAAGTGTTCTAACTTTTTGGTAGATGTTCCAACTATTGATGAGTTCTAACAGTTGGGAGAGGGTTCTAACTTATTTGGTGAGGAGTTTCAACTTTTTTGGGTAGGAGTTACAACTTTTTTTGTTGGTGTTTTAACTTTTTTGAGTACGGGTTACAACGTTTTGGGTAGATGTTCCAACTCTTGAGGGGTTCAAACTTTTTTTATGTAGGAGTTCCAACTTTTTTTGAGATGAGTTCTAACTTTTTTGGGTAGGGTTCCCACATTTTTTATAAGGATTTAACTTTTTTAGAATGAGTTTCAACCTTTTTGTGGTAGGGGTTCCAATTCTTGGGAAGGGTTCAAACTTTTTGGGTTTAACGGTTGAAGGAGGGGTTCAACTTTTTTGGACAGTGGTTCCATATTTTTAGGGTGAGGTTATTTGTCAAGTCCTACTCTTTTTCATTATCGGTTTAACAGGTAATCGGTATCAACTTTTTTAAATTGATCAATTTCTATAAAAACAGAAAAATTACATCAATGACCCAGATAAAAAGACGATACCATACCGAAAAGTAAAATTCGGTATTGTAGTCTGACCCAAAATTTCGATAAGATTTTTGAGTTACAAAATAATTTTATTTGACGGACAATCACTTGAACTTAATTATCGATAAATTCTTTTGGATCAAATTTTGATATCATTATATTTATTATTTTGTTATATTTATATAATGTTTTAACATCTTGATAGTCATCGATAAGAATTGTCCTACTGAACTAATAAGCTCATCTTTAATTTATATTTTTCGGAAATAGGACTGAATACAATGGGGGAGATTAGCTATTATTATTATTTCATACCAGAATGTTTTAATTTTGATCATGTTATATTTCAACTTCAGAATGTAACTTTATACAGGATATTTTTGTTATGATTAATAAAAAAACAACTAAGAACTTATTATGTGTAGCATATACTCAATAAATAAACTCATTTCTGGCTTCCCAATAAGTTTGAATTTATGACAAACCAATTCAAATAGCTTATCTCAAGAATGAGAAAATGCAATGACAATAAAGAGGACAGCAAATCACAAGGAAGAAAAGAGCATACAACTACAGGAGTTATACAGCTAAATCCACTATAATCTTTAAGTACATTGAGAATCATCAAGCCACAAAACATGTTCCATGTAAAGGGAAGAAGAATTTCTAAAAGGGATAAGGCTGCAAGAAGAACCTACGAAAGAAGAAGAGGAAATAGGGCTTGAGTTTCTGGAAATGTTTCAAGAGAGAGTTCCATTGGAAGAGGAAAATTCAGAAAAAAAGAGAACGAAAAGAAGAAGATTCGGCAAAGAATCAAGATTGTTTCAAATGATTGCAGTCTGTGATATCTGAATAATGAATGGAGGTTAAAACAATTAGAAGAGCTGATACAATTGCTGTGATGAAAGTAATAACAGAGACAACACCTTCATGTTCCTTAATTCCACAAGGTACTTCCCACACAGCGGCAACAACCTGAGATTCAGCTCCTCCGTGGGTTGACATAAATAAACAGCTCTCATTATGCGACTTTCCTTCAATGCTGCAGCGCAGAAATAAGTCGGGCAAGCCAAACTGAACTGCTGAAAAGCCACGTTTTCCTAGGGGCTGCAAAAGAAATGAGATTTAAACTTGCAGCTGTTCAGTACTAAATGAAAGGAAAAAATTATAATAATAAACAAGGGGGAAAACAATTAAGTGTGTATCCCAATAAAAAAATTAATGATTTACTGGACTATCATAACTACGCATTTCCAAACCACCTTATAAACATGTAATGAAACGATAATCACATTATTTCTCAGTGAAATTTCACATACCAGAAACATTTAATGAACCAATAATCCAACCAGTTCTGTAAAAATTTTTTGAATTTCTATTGTACTTTCAGAATCTATTCATAGTCTCATTCACATACCGGATATCGTGCATGCAACGGAAGTTCAATGTTAATTTCGACTTCATTTTTGTGTCCTGATAATATATTAGGACCAATATCCAAGTGAATCTCAACAATGGACCGATTTGACCGAAATGAAGGCAATTCCAAATTTATGTCTCCAAAAACAGCTGCATCAGCAAACACTGCAACAAGGTGCAAACTATAAAACTTGAGAATAATTAGTCATACACAGAATGTTGCTTCAAGCATATGATGGTAATTTACCACCACGCTGGAGAAGATGTTGTAGCTCAAATGGATCTGCAAAGACTCCAGAAGGTAGTCTTTCAATGATTATGGCCTCACAAAAGTGTGCAGGTACCTCAGGTAACGACTCTGGAAGACTTTTAAATCTGATGGACGAAGATAGACGACGATGAGAACCTTCACCAATCAGATGCTGATGCAGAATTGACAATCTTGGCACAAGATTGAGTTTATCTTGCAACGCTTCACATGACCCAGTGTGAAGTTCGTGTGCCATGAAATCTTGAAAATCTGGATCAAGAAGGTAAGCATGTTTCTTGAAATACGACTTGGAAATATATGTCTCAGGACAATGCGCTGCGTTCGGTTCAACATTTGAGTTATGCAGAGCCTCCTGAATTTTGAAAATAAGAGAGGATGAACATACAAGAGGTGGATTGCAAATAGGAAAGAAATAAAGGTTGTTTGTAGTTTTTTGGAGCCAATGTCTAGAAAGGAGCAATTTAAATAAGAGGACATTATAACCAACAGAACCACAAGGATATGACAGTCAACATCATTAAAAGGTAGAAAGGGTAAAAAAAAAATGACCTCACTTGAAAAGGAAGAAACAAACACACACGAGCCAATGCCAGCAAGGATAATCAATCTGATTCCCAATACTGGAGAAATGTGAATCCGACAATGTCGAAGCTCCATCAAATAGCTGAAACAGGGAAATAATGGAAAATTGATTACATAATGCTTCTCCAATGAATGTTAGGCTATCAGAGAGGCTCCTTAGCAACCTTCACTTCAACTTGCATAAAATCTCCATGGCTCCACAGATTCCACCAAAATGATTATTTAATCCTCATCATCTGAGCAAAAATTTCTGGTGGATGGGAAACAGGACTATTTTTTGAAGGCATGCTTGAGTTCTATATATTTTGCTGTCATCTTTTCATGTCTAGATAACGAATCACATGTTTTTTGGCAATCTGAAAGTCGTAAAAGCCTATACAGAAGTTTAATTACCGAGGAAGCCAAGCTCTCCCAGTGAAAACAAAAGATTAAAATTTTTTTAAAAAACAAAGTTTTGTTTGTATATGAAATCAAGGGTTATATGACTATATCCAAAATATTGGGATATGTTGCAGTGTTATCAGAACCAGACCGGACCGGCCGGTTAGACCGTGAACCGGGATCTAAAACGGTCCCATTCTTTAGTTAGACCGCCTAAGAATCAAACCTGTGGGAAACCGAAAAACCGGCCGGTTTTTTCTAAAACCGGTGAACCGAAGATTCCTAAAACCGGCCGGTTCAAAACAATACCAACCCATTTTGTCTTCGTCTTCATCTTCTCCGACTAGTTCAAAAAGATTTCAGTCCCGTAGTCTTCCTCTTCTTCACCTCTAATGTTTCCAGATCTAACTCAAATAGTGGCCACACCAGAGATCTCGAACTCCTTCTCAACCATTGATCTCCTCCTAAGCTTTTTTAGTCTTCTTCTCCCCTTCCCCTTTCTCGCTCACGGCTTGCCATAGATGGCTAGATCCCATCTGAGTTCTACGGCTTCAACCTTCTCTTTTATTTTTTTTTCCTGATTTGCAACCCAACACAGCCAGCTGGTTCCTCTCTCTCTCTCTCTCTCTCTCTCTCAAGTGCGCACACACTTGGTCAACCTATACACACACTCAACAATCAAAAAATTCAGTACACTACACACAGTAATTTTTATTATGATTGTGAATTTTTAACTAAATTATTATGTTGTATAATTTTTTTTAATTTTTTATTATACAATCGGTCCGACCAGTTGACCCAACAATGGTTGACCTATTGAACCATTGACCCGATCACTTTGCCGGTTCGATGTTCGGTCCGGTTATGATAACACTGATATGTTGGACCTCAATCAAGTACATTTATCCAGGTGAAAATCCCAATTTAAAATAGACAAGGCATAAGAACTCTGAGAAAGTTTTTCAGGGTTTAACCAATAAATCTCTTGTAGTTTTCTGGTGTTTCTATGTACTCTTTGTATGTATGTATGCCATGTCCCTACATCACTTGAAACTTATGGTTAGAAAATCAATCATCTGAAAATAAAGTATTTCAGATAAGTAGTTCTCTAGTACAATGGAATAATAGTAATAAGCAACATGTAACTGTCTATGTTAAAGTGCAAGCATTACCACAAAGCTTGGTAAGCTATATGCCATCATCTAGCCACAACCAAGTCCCCGCTGTGACAGATCAAGCCAATAATATAACTTCTTTTTTATATATAACCTGGTCATTTTACATTTTCCTGTGAGTTAAGAATTCCAAGACCAATCATCTCAAGGGATGTCAATCCTTATCACCCTTGGAATTAGGACCATAAATATACCGTGAATGTTTCCCTCTATTGGGTTATCAATTATGCACTGATAGCTTGAAGCTTAACGATATAGATAGTTCTCGTCTAAATGCTTTTGTCATTCAAAATCAAGGCACTGGTCTTCCGGCTAGAATTCTAGACAAAGGAAGTTTGCACAGAAACTAAGGGTTACTTGTTTACAGCAATCTTCATCATGAGATTGGGGTTAAATTCTATTCTTTACACACACAAACAAAAAAAGCATGACCTAAACAGTCTAGATTTTAGTTGGTCCATAGGGGGCGGTGCCAGCATTCCCCCTTAGTGAGGGCAACCTCGGGTTTTAGAAACCAATTGAATGACAATAATCAAAACTCGTCACAGTTTGCTAACAGATGGTGATTAGGCCTTCAACAGTCACATTTGGTGTTTCTGAGTGAGCCAAATCCTATCTGGAAATTCTGATATGGAACTTCCATAAGGCGTCCCAATGGTTGGTGTTGCCAGCTGACATCCCACTACGCTCAGAATTCCTATCCCCCAATATTCCTCTCTATATATCTCCTGAATTTCTAAGTAAGTAAATATGCACATGGACTATGAGTGTTAAACTGTCTCCAATTAGAAGATCTATCAAATGATTTTATTCACCAGCCACAGCAAAGAGTGATAAATGGTTGTTCTTATAAATCCTGCATAGAACCTCAACAAAAATATACATCAATAAAAAATATATATAGGAATTTATGTATACACGTGTATATAGGATGAACAATAAATCCAAGGACGCTAGCATATAAGAGTGGAATAAAGCTTACATGGGTATTTGGCGATCGGTGGAAATTGAAACCGTGAAACAAGAAGTTGAAGAAAACACCCGCTTGTTGGATTAGAAGAAGAATCTCCTTACAAGCCACTTTGTTTGTTCAGTGTCCAAATCCGAATGTTACCATCAAACAATCCACCAGCGGTTAGACTGCTACGAAATCGCCGAATTATTCGCCCAACATAGCCGATTGCAGTGCTCTGATCTCACTGCCGAGATGGCCAACGGCAGCTGACGATCGACGGGAGTGAAATCGAGTTTGGAAATATTGAGATTCGCCGACGAACTGAGGTGCACGGTCACGTCCTCCTCTCTCCCTCTCGATTGGGTTTTGGGAATGCCATGGAGGAGGTGGTGAGTGTGTATGCGTGTTGTTCAGCGGGTTGTGTGCACTGCGTATAAATGGTCAATGGTTGTCGTGGTGGTGGTGCAAAGAGAGATGCGATGGTGGTGGGTAGGGGACTACAGAGTCTGATGTTTCTGTGAGAGAGAAGAAGTGGGAGAGAAATGAAATTTGGGGGCCCGTCAGGGCAGTTTGGTACTTTAACATGCAGGATTTTGGATTGGTAATTAAACGGCGTCGTTTACTATATCAAGCTTCGAGAGTGGTACTAAAGCTAGTGGATAGGCGGAAGTGAAAATTTTCCTGAGAAAGGAGGGAAAACGAGAGAAAATGAGTAGTAACAGTTCACTGTCATCATCATCTCCGGCGCGTTCATCGATTTCGACCACAGCGATTGTTGGGGCGAATGCGGCTTCTTCATTGGCAATCGAGGAGTTCCACTTCCCGGCCGACCTCATCACCATCCAAGACCGCAAGGACGAGGCAATTCTTGGTCACTCTCTCTCTCTCTCTGTTTCCTTCTATTCTCTTGAAATACTACAAGTTCGATCATCTGGGTCCTTTAATTTTCGATATATATGATCTGGGTTTCCTTCGGTTTTGTTTTTTTTTTTTTGTTTTTGATTTTGTAGTTGCCTTGTACGGTTTCTTTGGTTGAATTTCGTTTGTATGTAGTTTGTATGTGTTTTTCCTTCGAAAATCAATCAAAGACCTTGTTGCTGAGTGAATCTAAGACTGGACTTCAATGTAAATCAGAACTTCGATTTGAATTGTTGACAGGGTGGACCTTGAAAGCTGAACTAGTTCAACTCAATTAAGTCTCACACAATTGCTTGCTTATTGAGGCTTTTGAGCTTTTTCGTTCTTCACAAACCAACATGCAGTTTTTCTACATAGTAAAGCCTAATTTGGTTCTGCATTACAGTTTTGAAGTCTGATCTGATGGCTGCACTTAACAAAGAGGTTAAATCCTTGGATGAAGATAGCTGGATGTTTGAAGGACCTCGTCTCGAATTCACCTTATATCAAAACCAGGTTGGTTTCGAACCCACGCTGCTAAGCTTTGTCATTTTGTGCATAAGTTTTTATTTGTTTCTGCCTTTTGTGTTTTATCTTTAAAGTTTGTCAACTTCTTTTGGCATGTATATTGAACTCAGTTTTTAACTTTGATGAGTCAAACTTCCATAGTCAGTGCCTAATCATTGTTGGGTGAATTGTGTGCATTAGTTATGTTTGCTGTATTGTGTTAATTCTGGGCTCGAGGAGGCCTGATATTGCATACTTTCTTAATGCCAATTATTTGATTGGTTTAATTCATCCAATGGGTGTTCTTGACCACATAACAAAGTAACAGAAATGCAAGAGCCTACTGTTTTTGCTTATTTGGCATTTCAGTCCAGTGCAATAGCTTTGTTGACCATAACAAGAGAGTGGAAAGGCTAACCAACATGGAAATAGGATGATAGAAGTTCTTCCTTCAAGTTCTTGTCTGTCTTCGATGGACAGTACATCTAAAAGAGGGCAAGATTTCTAGTTAATGAAACAATGAAGTACACTAAAAGCAGTTGACCTAAAAGAAATCCAAATGCATAGACAAGAAAGCAACATAATTGCATGTAAACAAGCTTACAGCCGACCACTACAGCATATTTGGCCTTTTATCAAGGCAAAAATACCATAATGAAAAGGGCCAAATGGACATATTGAAGGAAATGATGTTTCATCTTTTCTTTAGGTCAATACGCTCTCAGTTGAGTTGAGTTGAGTTTGCATGTCTGCAAGTCTTCCTAATGGTCTTATGAAATTTTATATTTTGTGGACCTACCTGTACTAATCAGTAATGTTGTGGGTTTTGGAGTTTCTCTTATTAGTACATAGACTTGGTTGCTTCGATTAGCCTCCTTCTGTTGTTTACTTTACGTTTAGATAGTGTTACAATCAAAAGTATGTTTCCAATATAGGTTTAGATTTGGTTTCAATCCAAAATTAGTATAAGCAACGTCCAATATGAAACACAAAAGCTACTTGGAATAACAAGACTATCAGCAATGTATACTAAGTACTCTTACAATTCAATAGATTTCAGATTGCAGAAATTTCCAGCAGATTAAATCCCTTGAACTTGGCATGATGCGACCAATCCATTGTCCTGAGTTTGTGTCGACGAGATTCTAAGTTTAAACCACCTTCACTATCCTAGTTGTTTTCCCAAAATGTGAAGCTTTCTGTGAATTAGAAGTCTATACATGTTGTCTGCCCGAAACTTCCACCACACTTTGTCTATTCAATTTAAGAAGCTAATGAATTTCATCCCTGAGCTTGCCCTGTCTT